GTTGCAACCCCGTAATGAGTACTGTGTTTGTTATTCATTGGGCATATATAATCGAGAAAATGATTATGTCAAGACAAGCAAAAGATGAGTTACCAGTCTTGTTATTCATGTCGGTTGCATGTACAACGTTCTCGTCTTCGAGATCTTCTTTCCCCGTTGTCTTGATTGCCTCGTCAGTCTGCCCATATTCTATGGCATCATGCATTGCAACTATCAAAATGTTAGTATACATCAACAGACAGACAGTATGAAGAAAGTATGTCTCATGATGTATCTAATGGCGTGTATTTGGTATATAATCATATTCTCCTGCTAAAACAGTATGATCCTAAACATATGTGCTACATAGGTATTATGCTACACGTAGATGGTAGACACGTCCCCATTGCGCGTTTACTATTTAAGCAGCTGATCACGATGCAGCACTATATTTAAGCTAGCTACCGCCTGTGTTGTGGGCTAATCAAGGAGTTCACGCGTTTGGCCATTTGACAGGACTCGGTTATGTTGATCGCTCATCAATTGCAAATGGGTGCTCATAGAGATAGGGGATGCATATGTTTATAGTAAAAGTGAATGTACATGCTTGTTTGTGTGTATTGTGTCTCTAAAACACAATCACGCTAAATCAGAGTATAACCGGATGCGTAGTAGTAATTACATGTATACCTTGAGTAGAATTATTAAGAGTCGATGACACTGATGATACCGGAGGAGGAGAAGTCATGTCAATTTGCCCGGTACGCTCGGCCGGCGTGGACTGCAGAACGACTGCACGTACAAAGAAACAAGCGTATTATTGTGAAGAATTTCATAAATAAATATAGATTACAAATCTTATAAATAATATGTGGTGTTGTTTTGAGACTATAAACATTATTGTGAGTCAATCCTGTAGCTTGTTGTTTGGCAGAACCCCTCAATGTTAACTTTAATTAGTATTCCATCTATCTCCGAAAACAAGACCTATAAAAAATATATGGGGGGAGGTACATAGGTTGACCATGTTTATAGGCAACACCATCAACAACTATAATACCAAATAGACACAATATGAAAATATACTTATTGTGTATCTAATGATATTCATTTGGTATCATATTTCTTGATCATTTTTCCTATATACTTGGCCAAACATTGCACCGTTTGACTTTAGATAAATTAAAGTTTGTAGGTTTTCCGTTCATAGGCAGGAGTACTAGTAAGTTTGGATTTGGAGATAGTGCATTGCATGTGTGCATGAAAAAATGTGGTGCATTCTTAATGAACTTATTTGAACAATTAATGCAATACAAAAATTTGGATGGAAATTATGATCTTATTTGTATCTTTTGATATTGTTCAGCAAGAAGCTTCATTTTCCTAAAAATGAAAGGTGTCTGCCATTATTATTGATTTTTAGAGTATGGAGAAGCATACTACTTAATGTTGAAGGATATTTCCAAAGATATACTAGTGTATAGAAAACATCTATCATCTAGTCTACCGGTGGGGTCAAGGGAAACAAGAAAACCAACAACTTGTGTGAGGACAATGGAAAGAGAGATCAGCAGGGAGAAATCAAGACATCTAATTCTGCATGAAGGGAGTGAGGAGAGGGCAGCGGAGATCGGACCTCAATTCTAGCACCCTTAACTGAAGCAAATGAAACATTAGGCTCCGCGAGAGTATCTGAGTATGTGGCCTTTGGGGCATCCAATGAGAAGCTTATGATATTTTCGTCTGGCTCTGGAGTCCGAGCACAACTATGCCAACTAGTTTTAGTAATCCAAGATACAATTAGCATATGTACACTCTTCTTTAACGTTAACGTTACGAAACATGCTATGATCTATATATCGTGCATATGCCTCAAAACACACATTAGCAATACACATACTCCCTTCATCATAAAATAAGTGTCTCAACTTTAGTATAACTTTGTACTAGTTAACAAATACTGCCTTTGTTAACCAATAGAAGATGTTTTGGATATTTTAATATAAATAAACTACTCCCTCTGTTAACAAATACTATAAGATCATAAAACAAAAAGAAATATTATAAGACGTTTTAGATCACTAGATAAGAATACATACAGACTGAAATGAGTGGACAAACAAGTGTCTATATATATTTTATCTGTAAGACGAGTATGTTATGAGCACATACGATCAAGAGAAAGAAACTTTAGCAAGTGGCCGCGCGGAGAACAGCGCGTAGGTAACTGAGATAACAGAAGAAGGTTACTACTGCAGTGCAGTTGTACTACGTACTAACCAATGGTACTCGTGGATCGGAACTGGCCGGACACCGTGGTGTAGAGCACGAGGCTGACGAAGAGACCGAGCAGGAACCCGAGCACGGCCTGGTGGTGGTGAGCCAGCGCTCTGGCCACGCCCGACGACGACGACCACGACGACGATGATGGCGGCTCGGCAGCCATCGCGGTCCTGGTCGCGGGTAACTTGTCCCTCCGTCTCTTCTCTCCCTCAGCTCCTGTAAATCTGTCTCTGACTCTCTGTGTCGACTTATGGGGCGGCTGGGCAATGCCGGGGTAATGTATGTGGTTATATATACATACAGTGAGTTTGCTGGCGCCTACCTCTACCTAGCCATTTCCATCCATGTGGTTCTACTAGCCACGTACGGGTTTAGGAGGGCTTGGGCGGTGAGACCACATGGACATGGATCCACACGCACCTAGTAGCTAGCTTGATCCTTACGTGCCGTTGCCTAGCTCTCCCGTTCTGCAAGTCTCCGGCTTATTGCCGACTAGTTGGTCTTATTAAGTCCTAGTTCAGTGCAATTTTATTCTGTGTGATGGAGTAGTAGTAGAATGGGTTAGCGTACAGCGCCAGTTCGACGATCAGCGCCAGCGCAGTTAATGATGCCATTAGAGTAGGTGCATGCACATGTGATGGGATTAATGACAGCCAGGGTCAACCTAAAGAGGTACAGGAACCATGGATTAAACTAACCCTCGCGCATTAAACCGCGTCTGATCTGTAAAGAAGATCACAACATAGTATGCTTCGACTGTGTAAGAGTTGGGAGACCCAGCTGCCACTGCCATGGTCAGGAATGTACGACACGGCTCCCGCACACACTGATGTGTGGACCCGGACCCACACGTCAGGGCCCCGTATGTCAGGGGATCCGGCTCCCAGGAATGTATACGCATTCCACCCTAAAAGTTTTTTTCCTTTTCTTTTTATATAGGATTTTTGGGTTTTCTGTCTTCCATTATATTTTTTGTCTTTTTTATGTGTTTGTTTGTTTTTATTTTTATTTTTTCCTTTCTAGTTCTTGAAGCGTGTGGTGATCGTTGGGCTTGCAGCGTGGGGCCACTGGGCTCAGGGTGATTGAATCATGAGTGATACGACATGAGAGAAGGGGGCAGGTGAGCACAGGCGAAGAGGAGGTGGGGTGTCGGGTTGGGGTTCGTTGGCCTCGGGCCCACATTGGCCATGGTCTTTGGGCGACAACGTTGTGCCCAATTGAATTGGGTAGGGATTTTGGTTTAGGGTTGATGCCGGCGTGAGAACTATAGGGATTTAGGTTTTCTTTTGCTCCCATCTCCGTTTTTATTCGGTTTTTTCTGTTCTATTTTCTTTATTTTGCCTCGGATTTTTTGCTTCTTTCTTAGTTTTCATGAGCTTTCTTCATTTTTCTTCGGTTTTGCTTCGTTCCTCGTAAGTTCTCATGATTTTCTTCATTTATGAGGTTTTTCTTTTGTTTCTTTTTCCATTACTTCGGTTTTCACCGCTTTTCTATGTTTTTCTTTATATTCTACAGTTTTCATACAAATTTCTATATTTTATGTATACATATGGACCATTTTTATACATGTTTAACATTTTTAAAAATATAAATAACATTTAAAAAATGTGTTTGATGAATATTTCTTGATACACATTGTACAAATTTTGTATATATCAAGATTATTTTTCGTATTTCGTGACATTTTTAGAATATATGATTAATATTTTATACATGCTAAACATTTTCTCAAATTTATGTTTTTATGTCCAATATGTTTAATACATGTTCTACATTTTTGGTATACATCAGGAAAATATTTATACATATTTTAATTTTTTTAATCTGATGATTAATATTTTTAAAAATACTTATTAACATTTTTAACATACATGATCAACTTTTTTCGTACACATTATATATTTTTTGCATACATGATCAAATTTTGTATACTTTTTTTCTATACACATTTAACATTTTATATGCACCTAGTTCAAGAGCTAGGCCGACCAGCGAGCACCATCCAGTTATCAATGACCGTGGGCAGTGGTTAATTAGATTCCGCAAAAGCTAGCTGGGTCGACCAAGTTAGTGTGATGTGTTGAGTCTATTTTGTTTATCAAATAAAATTGAATATCCTAGTTTTAAAAATTTATTTGGGGCTCAAACGTACTCCAAAAATTATGAATATTTTTGTAGCCCCATAGAAGCAATTCCAAGCCACATGAAAATCCCTAAATATTTCACACTTGTTTATAATTTCTTTATTTTTCAGATAAATCCAACTAAATTAAAGTTAGGGTTTATCCGCATTCCAAAAAATAATCATTTTAATCCTCAAAAATTCGAGAGGGCCCACATAATAAATATGAGGCTTAGCCAAAATTTTTGGGGTTGAGAAGGGTACACTAGTAGAAAAAGGACCTAATGTGAGACACATTAGTGCCGGTTTGTTTTTGAGCCGGCACTAATGTGTACATTAGTGCCTGTTCCAACGGCTAGCCGGTCGCTGTCATTAGTACCGGTTCGTGGCGAACCTTTAGTACCGGTTCCTGACACGAACCGGTACTAAAGAGAGTGGTGGCAGGATGTTGTCAGTCTGCCCTCCCCCCCCTCAGCACCTTTAGTACCGGTTCGTGGCATGAACCGGTACTAAAGGTCGTCGTACATAAACCCTTCGTCCACCCGAGCTCCTCTGTTCTTCCCCTTTCCCCTCACTTCCTCTGTTCTTCCCCTCTCTTCCTCGAGCTCATCACAAATTTTGCCCAAAATTTGTCAAGATTTGAAGGCCTCCATCCATTCAAATGATCACAAAGGTTAGCAACTTTGTCCTTTCATCTCTCATTGCTAGATTAGCTCTTGCAATGCTTTGTATAGTGATTCATTTGTGAGTTTAGTAATTTGGGAGGAATTATATGTGCTAGTATTTGATTTATATGCAATTTGAGGTCAAAAATAACACTTAGTTTGCATATATAGGTGTGGTTTACTTAGTGCCTTCTAAATCTCCGTCGTAACCACCATCGATCGCCCGCACCATCCCGTCTCCGGCACCACCTTGTGGTGAGGCTCTTGTTCATGAATGTTTTACATTACCAAATTGATGTTTGTGTGATTTGGATATATAGTTACTCGTATAATTATCTTACCCGTACGTTGTTTGTTATACATAGTGCCATGGTTTTGATATCCGTCCCCGTCGGCCCTCGTCCTTGTTATGATTCGGATGTGGTATATTCTCTTTTAAAACTAGTTTTTGCAATTTCGTGTTTATGACAAATTATGCCCATCAAGTTGACATAGATATTTTTATCTAGGAGGTATGTGAACCGGAAATTCCAACCGACCCTATTGTCGAGAGGTTAAATTTAGTTGAAAGAGAAAATGAGTATTTGAAAGAAAAATTGAAAAGAATTGAGGGGGAGAAGATGGAATTGGAGTTGCATGTTGCCGATGTCATCGATGATCACAAGATCAAGATGGAGAAAATGCGGTTGAAGATTAGAAAGATTAGAAAATATGCCATTGATAGTGTGGCTTGGTATCATTATGTTGTTGGATCAATTGTTACCTTAGTTGCGGTCTTGATCGCATTTGTTGTTGCATTTAAATTCTTTAGCTAGAGAGTTATTTGTATGTTGCATTTAATTAAGTGTTGTATATGAACTTTATGTATGAACTTGTATTAATTTGGTCTATTCGGTGTTGTGTATAATGAAGATATGAGCCGACAATGGATGTATGATGACCGATGCTCTCCCGGGTTCATTAATGGCGTGCATACTTTTCTGCTTGCCGCTGAGGCAAACAAGCGGGCGGATGGTTTTATGCCTTGTTCATGTGCTGGCTGTAAGAATGGTCATAATTACTATACGTCAAGAACCATTCACTTTCACCTATTTGAGTCCGGTTTCATGCCCCACTATAATGTTTGGACCAAGCACGGAGAAAGAGGGGTTATGATGGAAGACAATGAAGAAGAAGAGGATGACGACATCTATCCTGGCCATGGGTTCCCTGAATACGATGATACAATAATGGAGGAAGAAGCTGAGCCAGCAATGCGGGAACAAGCTGAAGAAGAGGCATCAGATGAGCCCGCTGATGATCTAGGTCGGGCCATTGCCGATGCAAAGAGAAACTGCGCAAGTGATTTGGAGAGGAAAAAGTTGCAGCGCATGTTAGAGGATCACAAGAAATTGTTGTACCCGAATTGCGAAGCTGACAAAAAAAAGTTGGGCACCACACTGGAATTGCTGCAATGGAAGGCAGAGAATGATGTATCTGACAAGGGATTTGGAAAGTTGCTGGTAATGATAAAGAATATGCTTCCAAAGGACAACGAATTGCCCGAGAGTACGTATGAAGCAAAGAAAGTTGTCTGCCCTCTAGGGTTAGAGGTGCAGAAGATACATGCATGCCCTAATGACTGCATCCTCTACCGCGGTGCGTACGAGGATTTGAACGCTTGCCCGGTATGTGGTGCATTGCGTTATAAGATCAATCGCGATGACCCTGGTGATGTCGAGGGCGAGCGCCCTAGGAAGAAGATTCCTGCCAAGGTGATGTGGTATGCTCCTATAATACCACGGTTGAAACGTTTGTTCCAAAACAAAGAGCATGCTAAGGCGATGCGGTGGCACAGAGAAGACCGTAAGAAAGACGGAAAGTTGAGAGTACCCGCTGACGGTTCGCGATGGAGAAAAATCGAGAGAAAGTATAGGGAGGAGTTTGCAGTTGACCCAAGGAACATATGGTTTGGTCTAAGCGCAAATGGCATTAATCCTTTTGGGAAGCAGAGCAGCAACCATAGCATGTGGCGTGTGACTCTATGTTTGTATAACCTTCCTCCGTGGTTGTGCATGAAGAGGAAGTTCATTATGATGCCAGTGCTCATCCAAGGCCCTAAGTAACCCGGCAATGACATTGATGTGTACCTAAGGCCATTAGTTGAAGAACTATTACAGTTGTGGAATGGAACAGGTGTACGTGCGTGGGATGAGCACGGACGGGAAGAATTTGACCTAAAGGTGTTGCTGTTCGTGACCATCACTGATTGGCCTGCTCTTAGTAACCTTTCAGGACAGACAAACAAGGGATACCACAGATGCACGCACTATTTGGATGATACTGACATCATATATTTGGAGAGTTGTAGGAAGAATGTGTACCTGAAGGAAATAT